AGCTGCTGTTCATTCAGTTTTTTGTACCATAACCACTTATTTCAATCACGTTGCAAATCATTCTCAATCGACACCTCAAATCATTACTTGGAAACATTTTCTCAGTGTGGATATAAAGCATGATCTTTGCACCGTTCTGCTCTAAAACAATAAACATACAGCCAATGATATTCCACAAGTCATCCTATCATAATTGCTTATCTTGAGCAGAATGATATTTCGTTCCGATTAGTGATTCAACGTACGTATGTGCGAGGATCAAAAAATGATCTACATTAAAATACAACAACCGAAAAGTTTTATTGAGAACGGAAGTTTGATGTGTCACAATCGAGATGGTGATTAAGATAGCTTATCGATATCGTCATTGCGTGTTAGGTTACTTAAAATGATGATAATGTTTATGTTGAAACAAATATTGATGTTTGCTGATCATTACAAAGATTACGTCAATAATCAATCAAAACCGATAGATCATAAATATTCTCAAAAACACAAAAACTCATGAATGATTCGACAAATATTTAAGAAAACTGATATCATTGATGGATTGTGAGATAACAGATGGAGTATGGTATCGTCATGTTGAACATACTGTCTATTTTTACAACCTTGATGCGAATTACTGGCTGCATTCAGTGTCAGCGAGAAAGGATCGCTTTCAAGCTTTGCACTGTGATAGATTACCCTGGATCGCGATCAAATGATGTTGCTCGGGGAACATCTTATTGTTGATATAGCCATTTGCAGAAAAAACGATTCATGAAAATGTGCTGATGTGCGTGATTGCATGCCAGATCGTCTCTCTTTAAAATTGACTTTTATGATGCGCTTTCTTTAAAGTCACTCTGAAGTGATTTCACGATAAAATTAAACGGATTAAGCTTGAAAGTATAGTTCATGCCGATTTCAAGCGGATATGGCAACTGCTCACATTATGATCTTCACAAATTTTTGTATCTATGTAGAATCTTTCACAGTTCACACAGTAAGAAAAAAATGTACTGCATCTTATCGGATCTTGTCTCGTTGGAAAATGTGATTAATTTTGAAAGGTTTGACTGTAATAAAGTGTAAAGATTAAATGTTTTTGTGAGCCGTCGAACTGATTTCGTGCTTCTAAAACAAACTGTTGTCATATGAACTTCGAAAAAAAAATTGAAATAAGGCGATTATACTTCGGGGATTTTCAAATTCATGGATAAAAATAGACTTTGTTCAATCCAGTTTCCGATTGAATGAATTCAATAATATTCCTTTTCATCACTACTTAAAAACCAGCAACAGTTTCCAGTTTCATAACCATATAAATGTTTCACCAGTCGATATGTTTATATCATATCAGATTATTGTTGCGGAGGAAATAGTGTTGTGCTTTTGTAGTCCTGATGTCACTTTGATCATTGTACATACTGGCCGATGCACCAAATTAGCATGTGATGTTTCTGCATTCATTATCATACTCAGTGAACAGTTTTTGCTTGAAAATTGCTTTGATGAGAATCAGTCAAAGCGTGTTGTCGGTATGCAAAGCAGCTTAAGAATGCTGTCGGTATGTAAAATCTCACAAATTCTTGATGCAATCCGTCACTTTTCTTATCATCGTGTGACTAATTGTTAGCCTTTATCACTAGAAACTTCATCAGCATAATGCAATCACTTCAAAACTACAAACTTTTATCAATGTTCAGATGCAAAACACATCGTTCCACATTATCAATATGTGATTGTTGAAAAATCACTATGAAAGAAGTTCATGAGAGAAACATTCCTTGTTAATTCGTTCATATGAGGCCTAAGAACAACGTTGACAATAATTCCATGTGTACTTTGTTTCTTCACAAGTTTGGATCAAGGCACTGAAAATTAGCCCACACGAAATCACAGACAGTATTATTATTGCTCGAGCAATTGAACGAAACTTTAATGTGGTGATCATTTGAAAGAGTTTGAAAGATCATAGCTGACAATAACGAGAAGAAAAAAACCGGATTCGTGTCACTTGTTCTCATAATGTTGCAACTTTTCTATAGAATTAAATATGACTGCAAGATTTGGAATCAATGGTCCTCAGCAAGACTGAGTTCGCAAGAGTTTCAGGTATGAGAAAGCATGTCAAGTGGAGGAAGGTTGTAAATGTGTGCAGCGAGTAACTGTCACAAAATGCTGTTGTGTTGGTGCCTCAGTTGTTGGAATACCTCAAAATCTTAGTCAAGATGTTCGCACACTGTGAGTTTCCGCTTTCAGAATCACCATATTCGCCTATCTCATTGTGCAGAACCTCACTATGGATATTACATCGAGTAACAGATACCTCTAAACACTCATAGCTACGATGAAAATCGCAAAACCGATCTAATAGTAGTGTTTGAATAACCATTTCGTAAAGTACAAAAATGCTGATTGGCAAAATTGCTGATGCAAAACGCATTCGAAAAGTTATCACGTATATCCACAAACTCGAAATATTTTTGGCTTAATCGCATCCACAATGAAGCTAATAAGATTGTCACGAAAATAAAACATTCTCATTCAATATATACTGAAATGAACACAGTATTGGAGCAAATGAATGTTATTTCAGATTACTTTATGGAATTGCTATCGAACAAATCAAAGAGGAGGATTTTCATCGGTATCCTTCGCTGGAGGAACTGTAAGTTTCAGGATCACAATATAACTTCTTGCTTTTGTTAGCCACTGAACCATCCGGATTGACTTTACTTTTTCTACAATGAGTTTTGCTTTCAAAGAATCACAAGGTGTAAACCGTTATCTTTTAAAGAAACTCGAATGTATCGATATGCAATACATATGGCAAATTTTGAAAATTTGATTAAATCAATGAATAATTATCAAATGAAGCTAAGCAATCAGTTGAGGCGTAACCTTTTGGATCGATTTCCGTCTATTTACGTGCTCTCTGAATCGTTTTCATAATTTTTCTTACTGAATCGAGATTATTGTTTTCAGAGTGATCGAAAGTTCTGATTCGTTGACGCTCATTGATGCGAATGCATTTGCAAATCTACATAACCTCGGAAAGTTGTGCGTTTTCAATTGCATACGATAGCACTTACCGATGAAGTGAAATGAAAATATCACGCCAAAAGTCACGATGAACTATTTTTTTGCAGAAATTTCAGCTCATCGTCAATCATTCCCCCAAAAATCAGCTTTACATTCATTCAAATTCTATTTTTGGACTGTACTTTAAAATGTTGTTATCAGTTCATTGCCTTAGCTATTTTCAGATCAGTGAGTGGGTGCCGAAATTTAAAAGAGATTACGGGAACATTGCTCAAGAACAATACCAAAATTTTATCACTGTATGTTTGGATAGCAAGTGTTTGTAATTCAATAGACGAGTGCAGATTTGCACTGATGGCTATTTTAAGACGTATTAACATATTTACGTTTGATAACTTCTTTGATGATAACGATTTCAGCTTGCCACGGTTTATCACCATTCTCCCTCCCAACTACTACTGGTTACGTTACTTGAAAATGATCGAAGATCAAAAGTCATCCTTTTGATAACTGCTAATAAATAACAAATCAAAAATTCTGTTATTCGTGTTAGCGTTGTGAAGCACATTCTATTCATGTAACATCATAATATAAGGACAACGATTTCACTCGAAATCCAGTAAGACACACCGAAAACAGTCGAATATATCTGAAACATATACGATTGAGACTGATCCAATGAAAAATGGACACTTTTACATGCAGCTATTGGTCATTGCATAAAGAATTTTACGAATAATTTATGAGTATGGCGCATGAGAATGATAATATGTACATTGTACACTTGTAACCGATGTTCAGTGGATGTAAGTGATATCCAGAATCATTTGATGCCTACCGACATTATTTCGCCCAGAATTAGGGTCATCTGAATATCAATTACTACGTATATGTGATACTTTTTGAAAAAGGCTGAAAATTATGACTACTTGGAATACAGTAATCGCTTCTCTTAGTTCAATAATAAATTATTGCAGTATAGTGGAGGAGAATGGTCTTGTTCGAATGCCACGGTTACGTATGACTGAAAGGCATCGTTTTGCGATGGAGATCATCGATTTTTCCCATAATGAAATCGAGTACTTGGGTGATGGTCAGATCCGTTCGGTGCACTCAAACGAGTTACATTTGAGCCACAATAAATTCCGCGAAATCGGTGGTCACGCTTTCTTCGACTGTAAATTCTCTTACATGTAAGTCGTCGTGCAATTGACGTTGATGTGTACTCTTTTCAACATGCACAAAATGCTCACCGACTGCGAAAGGCGCATAATCTTGCCCTATCCTGGACAATGCTTTCATCATATGTTATAATTAAGGTTACGGATCATTTAGAAGAAGATTGAACATCTGTTGATGGTTCGAAATGTCGTTACGGTACCAACACATTCATTTCAGTGCATTTGATCTATCATTGATCCACAGTAGTAGAGAATGAGAATATGAACAAAATGATAACCGAAAAGAGTGGAAAATGAAGTCGTCAGCAAATGTAGAGAATGAGATTGTATGAAAAGCAAAGCAATGAAACGTTTTCGTTTGTTCAGAGAATAAGAGCTGTGCGCGATAGAGTCAACGAGAACTGAGTTGAGAGCTTCTGAATCCTTGAGTCATGATTTTAGAGCCTTTGCGATATTCATAGAATATTTGTGGTGTAGATTAGTCGTAATCGAACCGAAACACTAATCACTTATGATGGATGAATGTTGCAGATATTTAAACGACAATGAAGAACTGAAACGCATGTCGATCAACACATTCGCTGGAGCGTCACTCATCCAAAATCTGTGATTACTTTAAAATTCATTTCTTCAGCAGTTGTTTACGATATTTGAGCGATACTTGCTTGCACTCGCACGATATAGAAATTATTTTTGCAAAATCTCGTACGATACTGAAAATTATTTCATTGCTCATTCAGTTCGGATAAACATTAATTTTGCAGTGATTTATCTCGAACGGCGATCAGTGAGCTGCCCACAGTCGGTTTATCGCAATTGGAAAGAATTACGCTCGAGGATACTGATAATTTGAAGAAGTTACCAACAATTCTGGCGTTCGCATCGTTGAAAAAAGCCAAATTCACTTATCCATATCACTGTTGCCTCTTTAAGGTTCTAACTTATCTTTGCTAGTCCAATCACATCTGTGCCTAATTTCCATCAAACTCTCAGCTATAATTTCCATGGCACTAAAAAGATGCACACGGATTTCGTTGGTAGTCATGCAATGAATTGCAGCATGCTTCGAAAGAGATCAATCTTGCCGGCAAAGAATTTACACAGAATTTCGAGGAGATCAAATCGCGTGAATGTAGCAATAAAGCCGAAGAGTTGGCACGACTAAATGCCAAAACAAAGGATTTACGCAGTTTTCGAAGACTTTATCGTCGCTATCACCGACGGAAACGTGCCATGGAGACGACCGAAGCTGCAGATAAACCGCTGGATTTGGCCGATTTGTTTATGTGGTTCGATTCAGTGAACAGCGGTGATGTTCTCATCGAGGTTTGACGGATGACTCTCTTTTATAATTGATTCATCACGATCGCATACGAAGTCAACACCATAACGAATTCATAGCAATCAGCCAACGATCTATTTCTGCTTAAAATTTCTTTGTTTTAAATTCAGAAAATAACATTTCTAATCTCTCAGAATTCTGTCGGCTCAGAACCGATCGTTTTCACATCGATCCTGAGAGCTGAAGATAAAATTATTGGCGAGTTATCAGAGAGAATTTTCTCATGTTTCATTTGAAGGTCGGTGACGATTCACCAGAGTTGGATCCAGTATTTAACGATGAACAAGTTGGTCAGTTGACCAATTTCAACTGTACCTCAACGGCGGTCACTGATTTCTTTGCTTCAATTCAATGCTCACCAATGCCAAATGCACTTAATCCGTGCGAAAATGTTGTCGGGTGAGTGCTGCAATTCATCACTGTATATCTCATCATTTTCTCGATCTGTCGGATGCTACCGGAACTTTAAGCGATCTTTTCAGTCTGTTGGTTTTACCTCTTGGAAATGCATCTGCCTGGTCATTTCATCTCTTTCGCACGAATATTTCCTAGGGTTGATAGCCAACGCATGTTTTGTCATTCATGGCAGCTGTAATTCTCAATAGCGATTGCACTCCATCTAATTTGAATTAATGGTTGACCAATTCAAGCTTTCAATTCCTGCGATGGGCCATCTGGTTTGTGTGGATATCTGCTATAGTCGGTAATATTGGTGTTTGGATCGTACTAGCAACTGTGCATCAGAAACGTATGCGTGTGCATTACTTCTTCATGGCTAACCTGTCTACGGCCGATTTACTTACTGGTACGACAGTTCACATTTGCTGTTTTATCAGTGAGATTATCCACCATCGGATATGATCTACTGTCGTGTTAACTGATCTGATGAGGTGAAATGATAAATCAACTGGATGTTGATGTCCAATTGAAATAACGTAACATTGCAAATGATTTGTTCGATATGAAATCTTGCCACGATTTGCATGAGCGAAGCATGAATAATTCAGGTGTTCATTTGGGCATGCTGGCCATTCAAGATGTCCGTACCTCTGATGAATACTACAATTATGCGGTGAATTGGCAGACCGGCGTCGGCTGTCAAATCGCTGGCTTCTTATCCGTATTTGCGTCTGAAATTTCCATTCTTTCCATGTTCTTCATCGCCTTCGAAATGTGGTATAATACAAGGTCTATTCATTGTCCCATTTTTACCATCAATTCAAAACCCTCAGAGCGGCAGCAGTTTTCTCTGGAAATGTTTGAATCATTGAAGCTCTCATGGCTATCTCTTTCAATTTTCAATGAAAACCTTATGAAATCGACCATTTTTGTCTATGATTGCCGACTTCTGTGATGCGGGAGTAACTTCAACCAAAATTTAATGACCTACAAGTCCGTTTCATAGTCAATCCAGTAAATATTCAGAAATGCAATCTATGGTCGTCGACTGCGAGAACGGACAGCCTTACTGCTGATGGTATGTGCTTATGTGTTTGCTTTCACGATGGCCTTACTGCCTACTGTAGGTGTATCGACTTATACAAGTACAAGCGTGTGCCTTCCACTTTCCATCGAGAACATCTTCGACCGGGTACGATTTCGTTTTTTTTGTTGGCGATCACTCAAATTTTGTTCTTTCACTGTAAATTTTCATGTGAAGTTTCATCGCTTTATAGTCCAGTAAATACTCAGTTCATAGATAAAAATGGTTTAGAACATCTTGTGGACGCTCTCTTATCGTTTAATCTCATCGGTCAGCAGTAAGATTAACAACTCATTACAATCCTCGTAAAAACTAATTTGATGAATCACTGATTATTGCTTTCTTCGAACCCTGCTTAATATTGTGCCTCCAGTATAACCACTAATATTCTATAGCTCTTGAAACCGTTGTTATGGAACATCTCGACTAGACCTGTAGTGCAGTTCACAATCTCATGAACTCTTTATTCGATTTTCATTCTTTATGAAAACTTCATCGCTATTTCATGCAAATACTCTCATTCTTTCAAAATCTCGAAACCATTTCTCGTTCTTTTCATGTACTCATCAATATAATTTTCATTCTTTTTGAATGCCAGTCTGATCATGTTCTCATTCTTTATAACGCAGTCTCTATGGGTACGACAGAGATCGCTTTAGATCAGTGATTGATCAAATGCACTGAATTGAACACGACAACGCAATGTGTTCTATGCATGTTGTGTGTGTGGATTTAGCACTATCCAAAATATTGAACTTATACATATCGTTGATGAGGTAATTGATGCAAGGTACTGGGACTGATACTGGATAAATGATTAACTTCTACAAAGATACAATTAAACACGAGCTAATTTGTTACCGGCTAGCCCAGACTCAATGAAGTGCATAACTTGGAAGTGAACGTATCATATGAACATCGTTGAGATATTAACATAATTTCAGATGTATTTACTGTTTGGGCTATTGACCAATTTAGCAGCATTTATTGGTATGACAGTGTGCTATGTGCTGATCGTTAAAATGCTTCGTAATCCGGATCAACCGTCCAGGCCGGAAGATAAACAAATCATTGCAAAGATGGCTGTTTTGATTGCCACCGATATGCTTTGCTGGTTTCCGACACTTTTCTTCGGTATAACCTATTGCTCCCCCTTAATTTTCACTCTTTTTGCTTACGATTGATCATAGTAAGTTGATCATTAGATCGCCAGTCTGGGTCGGTAACTCATTTAAGAAGCCATTCTTGCAGCGTTCAAATAAACTCTGACTTGAACTTATGAGCACTCACTCACCTATCAAGTTATACAAACTCCAATTTTCACTCACTTCACTGTCAAAGTATCTTATTAAAACGCGGCATCATTCCTATCATGAAATCAAAATCGAGAGTGTTGACGGAATAAACAGCTATGGGGGAAGATCCGGTTAATGCACCAGGGAAAATGCTGATTCAAAATGCCATCCTACAATTCGTTTGGATTCCAAATCCATTGCAGTTGTTCATTATTAAATTGAACAGAATTTCAGGCATCACAGCGACTCTAAATAAACCGCTGATCAGTATAAGTGTAGCGAAAATATTTTTGGTTTTATTCTATCCGATAAATGCGTTCGCGAATCCTTTTCTGTACGTATTCTTCACGAAAGTGGTTCAAAAGAACGTGCGTCCAAGAGCGATGTCATTCTTGAAGCGTATCTCACTGACAAACCTCACTAATGATCGTACTATCACGTAAGTTCTGACATATATTAACTTTACCGACTTTTACCTGTTCACCCCTTCAACCCATTGAAACTTCTCCTTTCGTTACTTATTGTATCCATTTTATTTCCAATCCCCATTCAATTGTCAAGAGGAGATGTAAAAAAACAATGTTGAAAACATCTCAAACGCATATTCAATTTCAGGTCGCTGAGTAATTTTTATCACTCACAACCACCAAATCATTGTAAAATCGATGAAATTCGCCATCTTTTCCAGGTATTAAACAGTTTTGCGATACAAAATCCATCGATATGAGAATGTTTTTTCATGTAGAAAGCAAAAAACGCGGTATTTTGGGTATTTTCAATGAAATTCTATCCATATTCTATGCTCAGCTACTCCAAACATGACTCTGTTAGAAATCTGAAGGTGTTTACCGATATGTTACGGGATGTAATTTCAAATGCTTGAATGATCAGGTATAGATTGTAGGGGGCTTCTCAAAGATAAAATTGATCTTATCATTCTCAAACTGCACGAAATTTTTTCACAATTTTTATTCAGACAACCCAAGTGACTGATCTGGTTTCAACTCCACGTGGTTCGAACGCATCAAGTAATTGTCTGAAAGGTGGCACATCATCGAACGAAATTTCCAGGCGGTCAGTAATCTTATTGGATTCTTCTTGAATCAATCATCTCGATCATTCCTCAAACACATCTTCAAATTTACATCGTACGACCTACACAATCGATCAGAACGATTAATAGAATCTTTATTTGATTCCTTGAAATTCTTCTGTGATGCTCTTCTTGTGAATACCTCTGAATATTCATATTTCTCACTATTTGCTTCTGATTGGAAATTCTGCACTGCCCAAAATCTCGTATACTCGACTTTGGATGGTTTCAAATTTTCGTCGCATCCCTCAGAATGAATTTTGACTTTTGTTATAGCCAGAATCGTTGAGCGAAAAAATCACTTGCCAATCAACACATTTGCTCTTGCTTTCGCGCGTCCTAGTGATGAAACCAGATAAAGCTTATTGTTAGACAGATAAAGAAACTAGATAGATAAAGCTGTTTGTTCAATGCTAACCGCTTCACTGGTTTCAACAGGTTTCATGTGCACCCAATAATCCCAGTTATCCGTTCATTCGTTCATGTTCCTGATTAAATTGTATGGTTTCGAGAAGTAATTATAAAAGCAAATGCATCTGACTACAATTTCAAGCATAATGAATCACATCAAAAGTGATACAAGAAACAGGTGTCCTTCAAAGGAACTGAATCCGTACAGCGTCGCTAACACCAAAACATCAATTGATTATTTTTTCATTATTTTATCTTTGTGAGCTGACAACAGAATCAATTCTTTGAATCAAGCCTAATCAAGAACACTCTAAGAATTCGTTCCAGATCCACACCACGAGTCTCATTCCAAGACGATGTCAGCAAGTACGTATGTGCAAATCCACCGAAGCATAAGGTGATATCCGGTCTGAAGTCACGCGTATCGGCACCACCCGAGATGAGCGACATATCCGAGCATTCGATATCCGAGGAACAACACGAAAAACTTCTGAAGTCGTCGTCAACGAACGCCATTAATAAACCGGTGGGCAAACCAATAGTGCATGAGCATCGTCATCATAAATTCAGTGTGATACGTGTCTATGACTGAATGAAGACAGCAGCATTCAACACAACAACTTTTCTACGCGCGGATTGTTGACACTGATTTATTTGATCATAAGCAACTGATTCGTTACCTCGTATCCACCTCAAAATTTGCACAAAATTTCAAATTTCTTGTGTGCCTGCAAGTTTTTCTCCTTTGCGTTAATGAACCTGAGCGCTAGTAGAATTTGTCCGAATAAGCGGGTAAATGCTCAAATCTGGGTACATATTCTGGAGATCGAATAGTGAACAATTTCTCGCAATGTCATTTCTGCTTGAATCTTTGAAATATTGTAGAAGAAGTGCATTTGCATGAGCGATTCATGAACGAATTCTCAGTGAATGTCACAAATGATGCGTTCACGTCGATGATGAATGATTCAAGAGACCTTAGGAATGAATGATTCAAGAGACCTTAGAAATGAATGATTCAGTGGAGTTTAGCTTCGGATGAGAGTGATTTGTTGTTCATGCGAATATGTATGCATTAAAAATGTGTTGAACACAATCGTACTTACTGCTCTCATCTGTCACCAACCTATTATTTATGAATGTTTTAATATTTATAGTATTTACTCGATATATAACTAAATGTTCATTATAAATCACTAATTTATGATAATTTTTTGGACTTACTTTTGCATTAACAAATGCGAACAAGTCTAAAATGTAGTCTCATTCCTGGAACATTTATATAGTCAGTTCAACAGTCAGAAATTGAAAAAAAAANAAAAAAAAAGAACACAATCACAGACTGCGATGTGGGACGAAAATTGAACCCAAAATTTAATGGTTTTGGTAACTAACGGCTAAGTTTGTTCAGTTTTCAATTGTAGTGCTAAATTTTGCGGATCTGTAAAGAACATATGAAATTCGATGTTCTGGTGGATCAGAAAGTGCTGTTTGCAATACTCAACAGTTGTTTGTGAAGTAATTTATGAAATTTCTCTTTTTTTTGTGAAAACTCAAGGGATCAGTTGAATAGCAGGTGTACAACTCACAGATTCTACAGTAGTCACAGTTTTCGGTCTCGAACATCTGCTAACTTCACACAAAACTAGGTTTTTGTATGCATGATCTGGTTGGTTTCATGCATCACTGCTATTCAGCAGATGAACAATGAAACACGTTCGTTCCACTGTGCTGAATAAAGTTTCCATCAAATCTCATATATTTGAATGCTGAAATTTTTTACATGGCAAATACGATATTGACCTTCAATTGATCGACCTCAGCGATCTGAATGCCTCACGCTAACTGTAAGACAGCCAAAGGCAATCCTGCGGAATCACATATGCACACGGAATTGCAGGAAAATTATGGAAATAAAATGTTATCATTCTGAAAATCAAACTAAATTGATGATTCCTTGTGTTTGTGAATCTATGCTGTGGCATATTTTACAATCACCCAGATTAGAAGAGAAAGAAACAATATAGTTTATAACGAAATCACGCAGCCCATAAGTCTCATTGAAAATACTGTAGGAAGTATCTGAGTCTCCCAGGGGTATTGTAGAACAAAGCAGTATGCATCTATTACTAATATTGCTGTAATTATCTGAAAGCATGCTCCTTCATATACCCAAATTCATTACGAAGATAGATGCTAAAAATTTCTGGTGAATTGATAGGAGCCTCAGCACATGTATGAAGAACATTTTGAATTTATTTCATGGTTTCAAAGTTTTAAGATTATCGCCTAATCACAGTTAGCATCAGTCAATAACAATTCGTGTATCCATGATGTGTCCATGAATCGCTGTACTCTGTAAAATACTGCTAAGTGTCACGTTTTGAGTGAATGAACTGAAAATTTCAAGTCAGCTTCTAATTTTTTGCTGCTTCTTCAGTCGGTTGCCTCGTCACTGTTCGTTCGTGCTCCAATCTCAACCGCTGGTAGTACGCGAAGTTTGGGAAACGATAGCGGTCATGGCGATAGTATCACTTCATATTTGTCTTGGGTTAGTTCTTCATTCACATAATATATCTTGAAATCATTGACATCTGGTGCTTTGAGCCGATTCGAAAAGTTGACATAGAGATGTTACATTATTGTCTTCAAACTGATCAAATAGGTTCAGATGGATTCTCATTCTTTTCTGACATGTTGTAGTCACTCTCATAGCTATCACATGCGAATAC